CGGTGGGGGAACACATCCTTAGTCACAGCCAGAGATGTCTCAAGGCAAGCTCAGCAGGCAGTTTATTATTCTAAGTTCCTGTAGCAGGCTGTACATGCAGCCAAGGTGGGTAACCCCACCTGGGTCCTATTATTTGGTCTATTGTGGTAAACAAGGTCTTTCAGGCCTGCTCCAGGCTCGGGGGGGAAGAGGGCACAAACACCCATATCGTGGCTCACGACCATTAACCCCAGTTCCAGGGAATGCTACACTCTCTTTTGGCCTCTGTGGGGGCACAGCATGCAGATGGTGCAGAGACATGCAGGCAAAACATCCATACACATAAAATAGAAATAAGTCTTTAAAAAAGTGTAGAAGCTGGATGATGGCTGCCCGTGACTTTAATCCCAGCACTCAGGAGACAAGAGGCAGATGGATCTGTGAGTTCAAGACCAGCTTGTTCCTTGGCAGCCAGGGTTGTTACAAAACCCTCAAACAAAACAAAAACAACGCAACAACAACACTGAAAGAAAAGAACAGAAAAGAAAAAAAAAAAGAATACCCATGGGTCAAATAAGGTTGGTGAGGCTGGAGCGTGAGTTACGAGCACTTAACTCTTGCAGGGGATGGGGTTCAATTCCCAGCCCCTACACTGCAGCTCACAACCAATTATATCTTCAGCTCTAAGAGGATCCCACATCCTCTTTTGATCTCTGCAGGCAAACCACGTATTCATATAAAATAATATAAAACAAACAAAACCCGGGTTGGGATGGATCTCAGTCTTAGAACACTATAGGATGGCTGAGGTCCGGGGTTCAGTCTCCAGCCTCACATCCCCAAGCACAGCCCTCCTCACCTAACGTTTTAGAGCACTTAGGTAGTGGTACATCCCCTGCTTCCACACAAGTAACACCGTTTCATCTTGCACTCCGTACCTAACAGTAGTGTTAGCTGCTTTTACCGTCGCCGTGGTTATAAGTTGCGACTGCAGCCTCTGGAGATGGAGCGTGGTTAGTAGGATATGCCTAGCGCTGCAACGCCTGGGTTCCGCCCCAGCCCAAACTCCTAACGGTGGCACAGACTTGTAAGTACAGTACTGGGGACCATCCTGTGCTAAATAGTGAGCTCTAGGGCAGCCTAGGCTATGTGAGACCAGTGTCTAAAACAACCAAACCAAGCCAAACAGAACAACAACAACATAGCTTCGAAGATTTACATAACTGTTTTTCTTTGATAGAGCCTGCTCCTGGACACTGGTAATTTTGGCAGCCAGAACAGGAAGGGGGTTTGTCCCATTTTATAGGCGGAGGGGTGAAAACGGGGCAGTTAAAATCTGCTCGCTTCCTACTGAATCTCAGGCTGAATGGAGCAGATTCTGAGGACTTCCTGGAGGGGGACCAAGTCAAATTCACACTCCTATCACAGAGCGTTGGACATGGCTCAGCTTAAGGTGCTTGCAAGCAAGGTTAACCATCTAGTGCGAGCCACCGGAAGGTGCCACAACACTCTCAAAACAAACAATGTAAACAAACAAAAATCGCAAACTTCCAACGTATCGTTCGTTGGTGTCCAGATCCTGGGAACAGAAATTGTTGCAGGTAATTTCTGGAGCTCAGGGATTCCTTTCCGGACGCCGCTGAGGTTTGGAAGGATCTAAGAGGGAAGGCGGGAGCTGATACCATCTGCACGGAACTTTGGGGCGCGCCTGGAGCAGACAGGTGGGAGAGGGGTGGATATGAGTGGGCTGTGGGCTGGCTAATGTCCGCTCTGAGAGCTTCTGAGGATCCTAGCCTCTTATTTCTAGGTTCGAAGACGAATTTCATGTAAAATCACTTTTAGCAGCCACGCCTATAATCCAAGCACTTGAAATGCGGAGACAGGAGGATGGCCTCAAACTAGAGAATATCCTGGATTAGCAGAGTGACGCAGGTTTAGAATACAGACGCAAAATCTGCAGTACTTAAGGAGGCACGGGAGTCTCGGAAGCCGGAAGTTCGGAAGTTCTGGGAGCCCTGTAGTTCCCTTTATGTAGTAGCGCTATGCCTTATGGGACTTGTAGTCCCAAAGTGAGCCACACTTCTGGGTTGGAGGAGTCTTCGCGGTTTTGGACGCCACCTAGAGGTTGGCTGAGACTTTTTGCGTCTTTGAAATCAAAGAGTTTTCAAGTCTGTTAAAAACTTTCATGTGAGTTTTACTTATATGTTGAGATATTGTGGTAAGTGGTTTGTTGTTTGAGGTAGAATTTTCTAGCTACAGGCCGGGCTGGAATTCGCTGCAGTCCTTCACAAAAGCAAGGTTTGTTGGGATGAGCCGCAGCACCCAGCTTTAGTATTAGGGTTTATTATCTATATTTAAAAGGTCTACCCCTCAGGGACCTGCAAGATGGCTCAGCTGGTAAAGTCACTCGCCACCATACCTGAATTTGATCTCTGGGACCCAGAAGAGGAAGAATAGGAACCACTCACAGGTGGTTCTCTGAGCTCCAGATTTGTGTACCACCCAAATAAATGATAAAATATAATAAAAATATAATAAAAAGGATCTATACCTCCAGAAAAAAGTAAGTGTGGGTGCACATAGCTATGTAAAATGGGTGCGCAGGGTAGCCAGAGAGTTTTGTGTGTTCCTGTATGGATATCCATCATTTATTTACTTTTGAGATAGGGACTCACTATGTAGCTTGGACTGGCCTGGTGCTCCTTATCTAGACCAGCCTAGCCTCGAACTCAGAGATCTACCTGTCCTCTGTCTCCCCAGTGCTAGTATTAAAGTTTGGGCCGCCTAGCTTCTCCTCATAGTTTGAGATCGTCTCTCAATGAGTTGAACTTGGAGTGCACCACTTTGGCTAGCTGGCTAGCCATCAAGTTCCAGGGATCTGCCTATCCCTGTACTTCAATACTGAGGTAAGAGACAGTTAACGCCATGTGCAATGTTAACACAGACTCTGGAATCACCGGAGGCATGGCGGATTATCTTAATTATATAATTGAGGTGGGAAAACCTACCTGCCTGATTGCTGTGGGTGCCAACGTTTCCCTTGGGTGGGCCCGGACTGAATAAACGGAGAACAGGAACTAAGAAGTACCACGCATGTGTAGGCTGGAAAGATGGCTCAGAGGTTAGGTGCACTGACTGCTCTCCCAGAGGACTCAGGTTCAAGTCCCAGCACCCACATGGCAGATCACAACTGTCTGTAACTCCAAGATTTGACACTCTCACACAGACAGACAAGCAGGCAAACCACCAATGCACATCAAATAAAAGTGAATAAAATTTAAGAGGTTTATTGAAAAGAAAAAGAAATTGACAGAGATCCATCTGACTCTGCCTCTTGAAAACTGGAATTAAAGGCATGCACCATGCCACATATATAAATATATAATATATAAAATTATATACATATAAATTATATGTAATATAATATATATTTATACTATATATTAGCTCTCCTGTATCCTAGGCTGTTCTCAAACCTGGGATAAGATTAGATTATAGGTATGTACCACCATCATATTTGGCTGCTTAATTTGTTTATATTTAATTTGTATCCGTTTTAATTATGTGTCTGTGTGTATGTCTGCATGTGGGCGCGTGAATGTGAGTGCAGGTGTCGTCCTCGGAAGTCAGAGGTGTCCGATCTCCTGGAGCTGGAGTTAACGAGGTGTTGGGCGCTGGAAACTGAACTAAGGCTCTCTCGATGTGCAGCAAGTGCTCTTAATTGCTAGCCATCTCTCCAGCCACTGATTTCAGAATCCATAACCCCTTCTCCGTCTCCTCTCCCACTCCCTCTCCTTTTTCCCCTCCCTCTCTTCCTCCCCTCCCCCTCCCCCTCACCTAGGGCTTGGCTGGTGGCAGTCAAATGTTGGCCACCCTGCTACATCTACAACCGCAGAAAGAAAATGACAAGCTATTTTAGACACTTGGAAAAGTACCCACTCTTTCTATTGAACACATCTTAAAAACTTGCTTCACGTTTTCTTCTGTCTCTTAAAAAATAGGAAAAAAAATAGGGGAGTTAGTTAGTTAGTATCCAATTAGCTGATAGGAAAAAAAAATCCCCACGTCAATACTCAAAGTACACTGGTGCACATAGGAACTCACAGAGACTGTGGCAGCACACACAGGGCCTGCACGCGTTCAAGCCAGATGGGGTCCCAGCACTGAGAGGGGGAAGCGGTCACGGTCTCCCATCTCTAACCAACAAGCCATCCATCTCCAGTTGACATCTGTCTACCATCTGTTCTCTCTTGTGGAGTCTCACTGGGTATCTCAAGCACATTAAGGGTAAGCCGGGCAATGGTGGTGCATGTCTTTAGTCCCAGCACTTGGGAGGCAGAGGCAGGCGGATTTCTGAGTTCGAGGCCAGCCTGGTCTACAGAGTTCTAGGACAGCCGGGGCTACACAGAGAAACCCTGTCTCAAAAAACAAACAACAACAAAAAAAAAAACCCCAAAAAACAAAAAAACAAAAACCAAAACAAAAAGAAAGGGTAAGCTCCATGTCCAGCAGGAGACAGGTAGCACAAAACGAACTCAATGGTATAAATTTTTTTCTTCATATTGCATTAAAAAAATTACTAGCCTTTTTTGCTTGTATGTTACGATTTCCCAGTTTGTGTTTTTATTTTTATAGATTTTGTTTTGCGTGTTTCTTACTTTATTTTTCTCTATATTCTTTTTATTTTAATTTTTTTCTTTGTTTTCTGAACAGTGAAGAAAAAAAAAAGGCGTGAAGTTGGGTGGGTGAAGAAGACGGGAGGACCTGGGAGGAGTTGGGATCCGGGAAGCCATAATCAGAATATTTATTGTATGAAAAAATGTTTTCAACGAAAGTAAAAAGCAAAGAGCAAAGCAGACCAAACCAAAACAACGTCAACGACAAACAACAGCAGCAGCACCAACAAAAAACACAACCGCAACAACAAACCCCAAACTACAGATCCCAGCAGCCCCGCATGGCAGGCTCGCTCCTGGGCAGACAGCCAATGAGAAGCTGTGTTTGCGAAGGGCTGGGTTGAAGTCTAGGTGCTCACTGGTTTGGAAAGTCCTGCTGAAATGTAATGAGCTTTGCGGTTGCCCCGGAGCTCACCGTGTCCCGGTCGTCGGAGAGGACTGACTCATCCGCTGTAAATGGACGCGATACTGAACTACAGGCCGGAGGGCAGCCAGGACTACTACGCCTTGCTGGGATGCGACGAGCTCTCCTCGGTAAGCAGGGTTGCAGGCTCTCACCAGGTCGGCTTTGCGATCAGCTACATCTGTCTCCTCGAACTCCAACCTCGAACCATTTTAAAGGAGTTTCTCGGCTCGGAGAAAATGAAGGGTTAAAATGCTTGCTGGTTAATTTGAGGGAAGGACTCCGAACTTGCAAGTGTTAGCTGGGAGAGGGACCACATACTGACGGTTTTTATTTATTTAGAGCAGCGGTTCAAAACCTGTGGGTTGCTACCGACTTGGGGGTAGCTTATAGCTTATAGCTTATCACATATCCTGCACATCAGATATTTACATTACAATTCATAAAAGCAGCAAAATTACAGATATGAAGTAGCAACGAAATAATTTTATGGTTGGGGGTCACCACAACGTGAGGGAGCGTACTAAAGGGTCGAAGCATTAGGAAGGTTGAGAACCACTGCCTTAGAAAAATAGTAAAGGCTGCGATTTAGAACTCAGGAGGCGGAGCCACCTGTCGGTAGTCTCCTCGTTCAGAGAAAGTCTCATGGATTTTATAGTACCATTATAACTTCAAATGGTATTAAATGCCATTGTAACTTCAAATCACTTTAATCAAGTTCGATGACCTTTCTGGTGGGAGATTTTTCTTTTAAAGAAACTAATGCTTTCCTTAGACATAAAATTGAGACAAATGTGTTACTCTTTTTATTAAAGACTTGTTATTTTTGTTTTATGTGCATACATGAGTGCCTACATGTATGTGTATGTATGTGTATTTGGGTTCTATTTGGCCGCATAGGGATACTTACTCTGTCCTATAGCCTGCATTACTTTTAAAAATTTTTTTTAATTTATTTTTATTTACTTTTATTTTTTATTTTTTTGAGACAGAGTCTCACTATGTAGCCCTGGCTGCCCTGGAGTGCACCATCTCACTATGTAGATCAGGTTGGTCATGAATTCACAGGCATAACTTCCCTCTACCTCACAGGTGATGGGATTACAGGCATGTACCACCATGCCTAGCCACAAGGCCAATTTTTTAACATCTATAGTTATAATTAGTTTAAAGAAATAGCCTATCATACATACATTTTTATTTAAAATTTATGTTTTATTCATTGAACCTTTGTATGTTGGGATGGACCAGATCTTTGGTCCAAGATGGAGTCACTTAAGACACCAAGATGGACCCATGTAAACCCTCCTGCTATTCTAAGGGCCTCTCCCCTCAAACAAAACAAAACCCAAACCCCAAAACTATGCTTACTGCAGTCCCCTTTGCATGGGACAGTTCCTTAGTTCTTACTCTAAATAAAGCCTTGTCTTTGGCTCCATTGAGGCTGTGCTAGTTTGTTTCTCCAGATAAGTCACACACTGGGAGCTAAATTCTTGTCTCATTTCAGATTTTTCTCCTTAGATAAGTATTTAGAATTAGAATTTAGAATTCTGGGTCAAAGAATTCTGGAAATAGAGGCTTTTCATATATATACACACATATACACATGTATACACACACATGTATACACACATACATATACATATGCACATTACATATTTAACATATAAAACATGTATACTATATAGTTCATATATTTTACATATATATGCACATATATATTATATAGTCCACACACATATATTTCATAATGTATATTTCATACACATTACATATGCCTGCAAATATATATTATATGTGTACTTGAATTTACTTCTAGAAATGTGCACCTGCTTAGTTAAGGTTCAGGAGAGCATCGGTGTTCGTGTCTTTGAAGCTCCCTTCACCCTCTGGAGGTTTTGGTTTATTTAATTGTGAGTCAAGTTAAACACGATTTCTGTTTACCACCGGCATGGTAGGCAGCTGTGCAGACAGATCACTAGATACTGGATCAGGACAGGAGGGCTTAGTGGACCTTGACGTAAGGTCTCTGGCTGTCCACGGACTGTGTTCAGCACTGGGCATGTGGGATAGGGACAGCAGGAGAGAGACAGGCTATGATGAAAGCAAACTAGCCACCTTTACTGGTCTACTCAGGGTCAGCCCTGCAGAAGGTCTGTGGTTAACCCTGTGACAGTAAAACGGTAAAGTATTGAACGACAGAGCTATTTTTTTTTAAATTAACTTGGCAAGACGCAAGAAATATAAATCAGGAAGTAGCAGTGACATGTTAGCACTGTTAGGAGTTACACTTTGCTACCATAGACTGGTACCATAGTGTTGAAAAAGTATATTTACACGTCTGTTTGTATATGTGTGTGTGTGCGTGCACACCACATCATACAGAGGTCAGAGGGCACGTTGTGGGAACCGGTTCTTTCCTTCCACCATATGGGTCTGGGGTGTTGAATTCAGGGCATCAGGCTTGGTGCCAATTGCTTTTATCCACTGAGCCATCTCATTGACCCCAGAAAGCTTGCCCTCCCCTTCCTTTCTTTTCTCCTCCTCCTCTACCCCTATCTATCTGTCTGTCTGTCTATCTATCTATTTATCTATCTATCTGTAACGGCCGGTTCTGCTACTTTGTAATGGCCCGTTCTGCTGCTCCGGTCCACAGGTCAGGGTCTAGCAAGAGAGAGAGTGGGGACGGAGGAAGGGCGAAAGAGGGGCGAGAGACACAAAAGATAGATACAAGACAGAGTCCGGTGGAGTCTCTTCAAGTCTCTTCTTTATTCTCTTATATTCTCTTCTATCCTCCTATATTCTCCTCTATAGAAAGGAAATCCTGGGTATTTATATCCTTTACCACGTGACTTGCTCTCGTGGACAAGCTCAACTGAAGCCACTACGTCAAGTGCCTTGTAGCCATGGATACCAGGAGCACCTTGCAGCTGGGGGCACTAAACAGTGTAACAAGATGTTTATCAGAGTGTGCTCAGCTGTTGTGGGCTGTTGAAAACAAGTCTCTTGTCAGGGTATATGGCTCGAGATGGCTGTAAAGATGATAGCCACTTTTGGTTAAGAGTCGGCTCCCAACATCCATCCATCCATCTATCTATCATCTATCTATGTATCTATCTATCTATTTTGAGGCAGGGTCTCTCTACATAGCCCTGGCTGTCTTGGGCCTCACTAGGTAGCCAAGGCTGGTCACAGTTTCACAGAACTCCGCCTGCCTCTGCCTCCCAAGCGCTGAGCTCAAAGACGTGCACCACCACACCTGGCCCCAGAATGTCTTCTAGTGTGGTGTGAATTAAAAACAAAACCCAGAAAATCCACAACAATAAGATTCCAACCATCTTGGACAGATAGGTATAATTCTGTGCATTTGCATTAGTTAACATTCCCAGAACACAGACATAAATATGGGGGAAATGTATCTTAAAAGAGTAAAAAGGATAAAAAAAAATTTTATTTTCTATTATGTATTGATAGGATTTTTATTCAAAGAGGGCTTGGGGGTACTTATGAAATGTTAATTTACAAATGTTTACTTGGGGGCACAGGAGAGCTGGCTCAGTGGTTAAGAGCACTGGCTGCTCTTACAGAGGGCGAGGGTTTGGTCCCCAGCACCCGCACTGTGTCTCATCGCCGCTTGGAACTCCAATGCCTGGAACTCCAATGCCTGGAAATCCGGTGCCCTCTCCTGACCTCCGTGTGCCCCAGGCACACACATTGTACACAGACCACACAGCAAAACATCCACACATAAAATAAACAGATCTTTAAAAATGTTCATTTGCTAGGTTTGGTGGTAGGTACCTTTAATCCCAGCACTCAGGAGGGAGAGGCAGGCGGATCTCTTTAAGTCTGAAGCCAGTTTGGTCTACATGATGAACCCCAGGCCAGCCAGGGCAATAACAGTGTGACCCTGTCACATACACATACAAAGTATACTGTTACACTTTTGGCATGAACTTCCTTGAACCTGTGGTCCTCCCCTTTCTGCTTCAGAGTGCTGGAGTTGTCGGCACAGTTACCTACACTTAGAATACATTTGATTCTTATGAAGTACATCTGTGCGTGTGTGTGTAAAGGCCAGAGGTTGGTGTTGGCATCTTCTTCAGTTGCTCTCCACCTTATTTTTTGGGACGGTCTCAGCTCACCAAAGTCAACTAACTGGCTGGCCAGTGAGCTCCAGATTCTCTTGTCTGTAACCCCTCCACTGGGATCGCAGGGTTGGGTCTCCAGGCCTGGCTTTTACATGGGCACTAGGCATTGAACTCGAATCCTCTTCAGGTTTGCAGGTAACTATGTTAGTGGTTCTCAACCTGGGGTCAAGATTCCTTTGGGAGTTGAGTGACTCTTTCACAGGGATCACCTAAGACCTTCAGAAAACACAAATATTTACACTGTGATTAATAACAGTAGCAAAATTACAGTTATAAAGTAGCAGAAAGAGAATTTATTGATGGGTGTCAGCACAACATGAGGGTCGCAACGCAGCATTAGGGAGGTGGAGAACCACCGGACTAAAGCAATTTCCTCTGCTTATCCTCTTTATTGGAAACCCTGATTTTTGTTTTAGGTTGAGCAAATCTTGGCAGAATTTAAGGTCAGAGCTCTGGAATGTCACCCCGACAAGCATCCTGAAAACTCTAAAGCCGGTAAGAATCTACTGATGGCTGTTTCTTAAGAGGATGAACAAAACTTTTCTTGGGACATGCTATACCGCTACACACACATCTATTCAACTCAGAAATGGAGCCTAGGAAACACCAGAGTACTCATACCTCCCAAGTCCAACTTGGTAAACCATGAGTTTTATTGGTGTGGCCTATAGGAGCAAAAATGACTCAAAGACAGCTGTATCACCAAAGCCCACCCTAGCATGAGTGATGGCTAACAGAAGCTGGGAACCTGGAGCATACTGCCTGTGGGCAGCTCATTAGGTTGGAGAGTATCCCTTCCAAATGATTCAGCTGGACTACATTTCTTCCAGGCAGTTGAACTGGTTTCATCTTCTCTCAGGCAGCTGTTCTGGTTTCAAGAGTCTTCCTTGCAGCTTGCTTTCTCTGAGAGTGGTCTTTGCGATTCAGCTTCCTTTGGTTGCTCAGTGTTTATTGCTTACTTGGAATGGGAGGGGCCGAGTGAATCTGGTCCGTTTCAGGAACTTCCTGGAGCCATTTTGAGTTGTTTATCTTCCTGCTGAAGCATTTTGCCTGCAGTGTGAAATGTTTCAATATTGGAGGAAACTTATACAACAGGGCTTCAGTTGTGTATAGCACTATTTACTGTTGCAAGGTCTTCAAACTAAAAAAGCAGTGCTGATGATGTCTGTGGATATATGCGCCATGGAATGGCATCGTCAGAGGAGATGGTGCTCTTCTTCCACCTTTGTGTGAGTTCTAGGGGTTAAACCCCTATTTCTAAGCTTGTATGGTGAGTGCTGGGCTGAACTTATTGTATTCAATGAGTTTTTTTTTTTTTATAAGATTTTATTTTTTGCTGGGCAGAGACAGTACACACCTTTAATCCCAGCTGGGAGGCACAGACGGTGGATCTCTGTGAGTTGGAGGCCAGCCTGGTCTACATAGCAAGTTCTAGGCCAGCCAGGACTACAAGTGTTTGGACTTGCAGTTCATTTCTGCCAGCCAATGAAGTGTTACTATAACAATATGTTTATTTGTAACCAATGCTTGTCTTCATAAGAATTCTCTTTATTCATTTTATTTATTGTGCCCTCCCCCCCAACTCACCCCAGGGCATGCCTGAAACTCAGAGGGTAGCTTGCATGAGCCAGGTATCTCCTTCTATTTTGTGTGTCCAGGAGATCAAAACTCAGGATGTCAGGCTTGGTATCAAAGTCAAAGACCCTTACTCTCTGATTACCAGCTTTCACTTGTCTTTATGATATAACCTTACAAACGAGTGCACTAAAGCCTGACTAGGGAGACCAGCCCAAAGTCTCATAGTATGCGGACGAATCGAGATTCTGGCGAGATCCATTGGATGGTTTTGGAGTTAAACCCACCGAGAGATCAGTGTTCATCTCTGTCTTGTTTTCCAGTGGAGACTTTTCAGAAACTGCAGAAGGCGAAGGAGATTCTGTGCAATGCGGAGAGTCGAGCCCGCTATGACCATTGGCGGAGGAGCCAGATGTCGATGCCGTTCGAGCAGTGGGAAGCTTTGGCCGACTCAGTGAAAACTGTGAGTTTCCCTCTGGGGATGCTGGGGTTTGGAGGCCAGGCTGCTCAAGGGTTAGACTCACGTCTTAGCCTGAAGAATCAGTATGCTATAGGAGGGAAAGGGACCGAGAAATTAGTAGTAAGTCGTTGCTTACAAAACCCTGTGAGGGCTGGGCAGTGGTGGCGCATGCCTTTAATCCCAGCACTTGGGAGGCAGAGGCAGGTGGATTCCTGAGTTCAAGGCCAGCCTGGTCTACAGAGTGAGTTCCAGGACAGCCAGGGCTATACAGAGAAACCCTGTCTTGAAAAACCAAAAACAAACAAACAAACAAACAAACAAAACCCCTGTGAGGAGAAGGTCAGCAGAGAAAGCAAGACCACCAGAGTGAGTGTTTAGAAGGGGCCATGGCCACGTGTTTTAGCATATTACACTTCCTGCTATCATTTACACCTTATTCTAAGATTTCTCAGAATTGTGTTTATCAGAGTGCTCATATAACAAAATTTTGAACTGCTGAAAAATCTTTTCCTTGAATCTTGAAAAAATATTCTCAAGATATATCTATTTATCTCTGTCATCGCTACATCTATTACGTTTTTCAAGACAGGGTCTCACTATGTAGTTCTGGCTGTCCAGAAACTATCTCTGTAGACCAGGCTGGCCTCCACAGAGCTCTGCCTGCCTCCCGAGTGCTGGGATTAAAGGCGTGCACACCACCACTCAGCTTAAGATGTATTTTTGTTTGTGTATGTGTCTGTGTTTTTGTCTCTTGTGTATATGCCATGTGTGGGTTCCCAAGAAGAGCACATTGGATCTGTGGAGTTGGAGTTACAGGTGGCTGTGAGCTGCCATGTGGGGACTGGGTACCAAACCTGGTCCTCTGGAAGAGCATGAAGCGCTGTATCTCAGAGCCATCTCTCCAGCCCTTCCTTTATCTTTTTTCTTGTTGTTTGAACTTATTTGTTTAGTAAGGCTTGGGCATCTATAACAAAACAGAATACAATTATTGCTGTTATGTATGGTGGTAAAGAGTTACATTACTTCTAAACACCATTAAAAACTTACATACAGGGGCTCCGTGGTTAAGAACACTGGCTGCTCTTCTAGAGGACCCAAGTTTGGTTTGCAGCATTCACATTGGCCGCTCACACTGTGTGTAAACCCATTTCCAGGAACTCCGATGCCCTCTTCTGGCATCTGTGGGCATCAGACACTTGCTGCTATTCTGAAGATGGAAGTTTGGTTCCTAAAACCCACGCTAGGTGGCTCACAACCGCCTGTAACTCCAGTTCAGGGTGTCTGATGCCCTCTTCTGTTTTATTAGGGAACCCATACATGTGACATTCTTCACACAGGCATACATACATACATACATACATACATACATATATACACACACACATAAATAAAAATATATCTTTTTAAAAGATTTATTTAAAATATATATATATATATATATATATATATATATATATGGTTGCTGTCTTCAGACACACCAGAAGAGGGTATCAGATCCCATTACAGATGATTGTGAGCCACCATGTGGTTGCTGGGAATTGAACTCAGGACCTTTGGAAGAGTAGTCAGTGCTTTTAACCTCTGAGCCATCTCTCCAGCTTCCATATCTTTTTCTTTTTCAAGTCAGGATTTCTCTGTGTAATAGCCCTGGCTGCCCTAGACTAGCTTTGTAGATCAGGACGGCCTCGAATTCATAGATATCCACCTGCCTCTGCCTCCCAAGTGCTGGGATCAAAGGTGTGCTCTACCACTCCTGGCCTATAAAAATAGTATCTTAAAAGAATAGTAGTACTTAGCTTTACATTGAGAGAAATACTATTCTTTACCTTTTATTTATTTATTTATTTTTTGCATGTGCATGTGAGCATGGTGTGCATGTGTGTGTACCTTGTGTAGGTGTACAAGTGTGTCTGTATGTGTGCGTGTTTTTTGCCTGAGCTCATGTGTGTAGAGGCCAGAGGTTGACACTGAATGTCTTCCTTTACTGCTCTCCAGCTTTTATATGGAGTCAGGGTCACTCACGTGAACCCAAAGATTGACTCTTTGCGTTGTCTAGATGGCCAGCTCACTCTGGGGAATCACCTTCCTCTGCCTGCTGAGTGCTGGGATTAAAGACAAGCCATCATACCACCCCAATATTTATGATAGCGCTAGGGATTTGAACTTGGATCCTCAAGCAAGCACTTTCCCCATTGAGCCATTTCTCTAGCCTTTGCCTTTCCAAAATGCCTTGACACTGGCTTAGTAAACATTGTTCTGCAAAGTCAGTGCAAATGTATCTCTGGCCTCTTAAATATGATACATTGTAACTACTGCTGAGTTAGTTACCATGGTTGTCCAATGCCTTCTGATTTACAGCTCCTTACTCAATGGTCATTTAATTCATTTTTTAAAAGATTTATTTATTATGTATACAGTATTCTGCTTGCATGGATGTGGAAGAGGGTATCAGATCCCAATACAGATAGTTATGAAGCTAGGCAGTGGTGGTGCACACCTTTAATCCCAGCACTTGGGAGGCAGAGGCAGGCGGATTTCTGAGTTCGAGGCCAGCCTGGTCTACAGAGTGAGTTCCAGGACAGCCCGGGCTATACAGAGAAACCCTGTCTTCAAACGAACAAACAAACAAACAAACAAACAATAAAAAAAAAACCAAAACCAGATATTTATGAGCCACCATGTGGTTGCTGGGGATTGAACTCAGGACCTCTGGAAGAGCAGTCAGTGCTCTTAACTGCTGAGCCATCTCTCCAGCCCTGGTCATTTAATTTTTTAACTGCTAATACTAAGTTAGCTACAGATTTTCCCAAAATTCCTGTCCAAGTCTCCACTTTGATCTACATTACCATTGTATTTTATTTACTGTTACTTTCCTGACTCCAAACACAGCAATTCCATCTTGGATTTAGCCTAACTATTCATTGTTTGAACCCTTATAATAATTATATTTTAGTCTTACTGACTGTGAGGCGCGTGTGTAATCGTCTCGCCAGCAAGAACGCACCACACACACACACACCAGAATCCTTCCGTAAAAACACGTTTATTCCCAAATACAAAATGGTGGAAGAAGACGCCAGGCCCAGGAAAAGCACTGCTTAATATACCCTTGGAGCGGTGCATTCACCTCTGATTGGCTGCTTACTCGTAGCGTGCCAAACGCCGTGGGATGGGCTTTAACTTTGGCAGGCCTTTTCCATGGCACATGCGCAATTCACCTATTCACCAGGAAAAATCCCGGATGTCAGGCAAACGCGGCTTTAGCCAGCGCATGCGCTGCTTCCTACAACTGACCACATTCTTTATCTTGTCACCTAAGCTGGAGTAGTATGAAATTTGGTTTCAGGCTTATTGCCATTAGAGATACAAGAATAATACGTTTTATAGCTGTTCTTTCCAGGCAAGGGGTTGCATTCAGGAGGTAGACAAAAATCAAAACCAAATAAACCCACTAAATCAGCAGTGGGGGTTGGAGAGATGGCTCAGTGGTTAAGAGCACTCTTGCTGGGATTGGTGTTTGGGCCCCAGCACCCAGGTCAGACATTTTACAATTACTATGTTCTGCTCCAGGGGATGGATCCAAAACCCTCTACTGGACACTGTGGCATCTGCATATTCATAGCATACACTCCTATAGACACATATGCATACACATCAATAAAATAAATCTTAAGTCAGTAGTGATTTCTTTTTTTCTTAAGTCTTCTATGTCTGGGAAGCATTAACAATTACTGTTCGGCTTCTGTCAGGTAGGTAACCGGCCTTCTGTAGCCACACACTGTCATTAGGGTTTGGGATTAGCTGTATAGCACACAGCATTCTGAAAATCAAAGGTACAAGTTTAGGATCCAAAAGACACTTTTGTATTCTTTTGACTTGCACCTCCTCAGAGCGTGAAGTTTCATCCAATGTCTTTCCTTCACACCATTAAGCTTGTGGCTCTGATTTTTATGCAGTTAGTATGATTAGGAGGATGGTTATTAGTTAGGAGAACAGGGTATATCTGGAGGCAGTTTTATGTGTCACATACAGGGCTGTATTTCAAGTCTGGCCATCTGTCCATTGGGAACATTGCTCAGATGAGCCTTGGCTTCAGGGTGACCCACTACTGTAACTCCAGCTCCAGGGGATCTGATGCCTCCAGACATTCAGAGTGGTAAATCTTTTTTTTTTTTTTTTTTTTGAAAAACTCCCCAAAATGTTTAATAGAGTTAATGAAAAATAAATTTCTCATCTAATCATTTCTTTTCATAGTTTATTAATTTCAGAACATCTATGCCTGAAAGTTCTTACCTGCTTTTCCCTGCAAATTAAAATCACTATCCTTTAACCTTGCCCTTGCACTGTATTTAATCTAATGTAATTATTAATAGTTATCTGCAACATTAACATTCCATTACTTTTTTGTTTTATGAGTCAAAATTATCAATAATTTACATCAGAGTGGTAAATCTTAAAAAAATATCTTAAGAGTTCACCTAAGCCGCTGTTTCTCAACCTTCCTAAGACTGTGACCCTTTAATACAGTCCTGCATGTTGTGGTGACTCCCCCAAATCATAAAATTATCTTCATTGCTACTTCATAGTTCATAGTAATTTTGCTACTGTTATGAATCAGAATGTGAATATCTGTGCTTTCCAGTGGTTTTCGGTGACCCCTGTGAAAGGGTCATTCAACCCCCAAAAGCATCCAGACCTATGGTTAAGGATCACTGACCTAAACCAATGACTATATTAGAAACTTAAATTTGAACATGTGATGTTGGTTTAAAAATGAGATACATGGCTTTTGAGATGGCCCAGTGGGTATAGGCCCTTGTTACCAAGCCTGACAGCCTGAGATTGATCCCTGGAATCCATATGGTAGACAGAGAAAATTGATTCCTGAAAGCTGTCCTCTGATTTCTACACATACACCGTAGCGTACGTATATGTCCATACACATGTGCACATAGAGATAAACAAAACATACATAACAAATAAATATTAAAAGTTTAAAGGCCAGGCACTTTAATTTCAGTGCTTAGGAGCCAGAGGCAGGTGGATCACTGTTAGTTTAAGGCAGCGTACTCTACACAGTGAGTTTCAGACCAGCAAGGGCTACAGGCTACAAAGTAAGACCCTCAAAAACCAAACAAACCAAAGTTTTTTTTTGTTTTTTTTTTGGTTTTTCGAGGTAGGGTTTCTCTGTGTAGCCCTGGCTGTCCTGGAACTCACTCTGTAGACCAGGCTGGCCTCGAACTCAGAAATCCACCTGCCTCTGCCTCCCAAGTGCTGGGATTAAAGGCGTGCGCCACCAATGTTCGGCAAAGAGTTTTTGTTTTTGTTTTTAAATAAATATTGGTTTGAATTTCAAGGATTCAGGCCTTTGAGATTCTGTGATAATTAGGAAACAGACTTTGTTGTTTTGTTGTTGTTTTTAGAGGTTTCATGAATCCAAGGCTGAATTTGAACTTGCTGAGGATGACCTTGAACTTCTGATCCTTCTACCTCCACCTTTGGAGTGCCTATACAGTTACCCTACCAACCCAGCTACGTCTTTGAGCTCCCTCACCCAAATTGAAGTCCTGCTTACTTTTCTTCTGCCAAGCTGTAGGCTGTCGGCATCTTCGTTCAACCAATAGTTTTAAATTAAGGAGCAAGGTTACATAGCATCACTTAGTGTACACGAGGACCTCCTTGTCCCTGCTGGCAACCAGACTTTGGGGGCAGGTATGTAGCATTACAGTACATAGCAACAGACCAAACCTCAACATTTAATTCTCCTGCCTCTACTTCTTAAGTAGTGTGATTACAGGCCTGCACCTCCAGGCCTAACAAAGACTTTTTTTTTAAAGGATTTATTTGTTTTATGTATATGAATACACTGTAGCTATCTTTGGACACACCAGAAGAGGGCATCGGATCCCATTACAGATGGTTGTGAGCCACCATGTGGGTGCTGGAAATCGAACTTCAGTGCTCTTAACCACTGAGCCATTGCTCCAGCCCACAAAGACCCTTTTTAGTGCAGAGAATCTAGGCTCTCTATCTACTTCCAGAGCACAGGCCAGGAAGACAAGAAGGCTGCTGGGAAATGGTTCTGTTTAAATCACAGTCAAAACTACAAGAAAGCATCCTCAAAGACTAATAAAATTGTTCCATGTCATACCCATTGCTGTAAATTTTATAAGTTAGATATATTTTTTTGGACTTGGCTATTTGATAAATCAGCTGTTTGGGGAGGAATTTTTGGGGTTTTCCTGTTACTTACATAAGTCTATTGGCCTATTGATTGTTTCTGAGTTCCTGGGTGGGTGGTATATCTTTGGGGGGGGGGGAGTCCAGTTGGCCACAGGCTATCTGCAGAAGCTTCCTACCATGTCCAGATGGCCACTGTTTATCTAGCCAGATGAGAAACAGTAAGCACTTAAATACCTGCTTTTGAAAAGACAGTCTGCCCTGTTTGGATACTATCCCAGAGCAAGCAGGTCAGAGATCAACCACTCAGGCAAGTAAAAAATTTACTCACGGTAACTCAGGATAAAAATAATTTTGGGGGCTAGAGAGATGGCTCAGTGGTTAAGAGCACTGGCTGCTCTTCCAGAGGTCCCAAGTTCAATTCCCAGCAACCACATGGTGGCTTGTAGTTGTGTAACTCCAGTTCCAGGGCATCTGAAGTCTCCTCTGGCTAGCTCAGGCAACCAGACAAACGTAGTGGTATACAGGCACACATACAGAGACAACATCCATACACATAAAATAACAATGGGGACAAAAAGCCAAGTTTTGCCTGTTGTTCAGGTGAGCTGTGGCTCATGTGAGCCCGTTGTTTTGGTTTCCTTTTTCCAGTGTTTTAGTGGCGTGGAGATTTAGAAATATTTGCTAGTGTTGACCGAGATTTAGAATGTGAGATAATTATTTCCTAAAGGAAAAAAAAAAGGGCCTGTTAAGGAAAGCTGGTAAACAAGTTTATTGTGAGTGGAAAATACCAGGAGCTCAACTTCACAGACACGAGCGTTCATGGCCTTTGTCCTTTGGTGTTTGCTGACTGTCTGCCTCCTGCATGGCAATGCGTTTCTCTCCTCTTTGCCTCTTAGTTCTTGTCTCCAGCCCATCACTGGATATTTCTACTGATGCTCTTTTTTTTTTTTTTTTTTTTTGAGGCAGGGTCTCATGTCCATACCAGTCTGGCCTCAAACTCAATACATATTCAAGGGTAGATGACCTTGAACTCTTGATCTTCCTGCCTTCACCTCTTGCGTGCTGTGATCACTGGCGTGCTCTAGCCTATATGTTATGTGCTGTGGGATCCATCTTGTCCACTGTAGGATCTAGGCATGCTGGTTGTCTTAGTTTGGGTTTTAGTGCTGCGAAGAGATACCGTGACCATGACAACTCTTACAAAGGAAAACATTTCATTTGGGGCTGGCTTACAGGTTCCGAGGTTCAGTTCATTATCATCATGGCAGTGTGTAGGCAGACATAGTGCTGGAGGAACTGAGAGTTTTACATCTTGATCCACGGGCAGAAGAAGGAGACTGTGTGCCACACTGAATGTAGCTTGGGCATAGGAGACCTCAAAGCCCGCCTATACAGTGATCCGCTTCCGCCAAGGCCACACCTCCTTAAAGTGTCACTCCCTATGGGCCAAGCATTCAAACACCTGTGTGGGTCATACCTATTCCAACCACCATGCTAGGCAGCACTGGATCAGTTGAGCTCCATCCAGTCTGAGTGCTTGACTTTTTTGTCTGGTGCTGGGGATTGAACCCAGATCTTGCCAAATGCCAGGGAAGCTCTTTATCTAACTGAACTCCGAGCCCAGCCCTGTTGATCTGCCGAGGACTAGTTAGTTCATTTGATGCTGCATGCTGTTCTGAGCCACTGATCTCTGGTGGAGCTGTGGAGTAAACTCTGAGCATGGAAAGCCGTGCCCTGCCAACTGTCTGCTTCACAACACGGACTGCTTAGCGTCACTCTTAAAACCTTTCCATATTTGGTGTGTATGTGTGTGTGTGTTCCACAGCATACATGTAGAGGTCAGAGGACAGCTTGCAGGAATTGGTTCTCT